TATGTCGCATTTGCTCAAAGAAAAAAAGAACATCGTATGCATTTAACTAATCATCATATGCAATATATTGCAATCTCACATGTACCATCACAAATGCAATTACCATTTTCAAATGGAATGTATCTTATGATACCATACTTATTAACACCAATGGATTCATCACAACTATGTTGGTCATCACCTGTAACTACCGATGCTATGAAACCACAAACAAGTACTCAAATGATTGGTATACAAATTGCACCATCAGCTATGACTGATGTTGCATCTAGATCAACAATGCCAATGGGAACTCAATCAACATCAAAATCAGGACAAATGATGCCTAACACTTCTGTTCGATCACTTGTTAGAGTACAATCACAACAAGCAACAGCTTATACTCGTACAGCACGAAATATGCCACCTAATGTATGTATTCAAATTGAATAAAAAAAATAATAATAATAATTTTGTTTTTAGAATCCAAGTGGATTTTCAAATTCAATTGTAGTTACTGAACAAGAACCATTAACATTAGCTGCTCTTGCTAATGCAACACCATTAGAGCAAAAACAAATGTTAGGTGAACGTTTATTTCCATTGATTCAACAAATTCAATTAGAATTAGTTGGTAAAATAACTGGTATGCTTCTCGAAATTGATAACACTGAACTTCTTCATATGCTCGAATCAAATGAATTACTTAAAGCTAAAGTATGTTTATTCAACTTTAAAATAAATTATTTTTTTTTATTTTTATTTTATATTAGGTTGAAGAAGCTATTGCCATACTTCAAACATATCAAGCCAAACAAGCAGCAACTAATTTAGCTGCTCAAAAAAATCAAATATCATCATTTAAAAAATAAAAATAAAACAAAATCTAAGCGAATGTATTGGCACATATACATACACATAGATTGTCTTTTGTTTTTTTTCTTCTGCTTCGTTTACTATTGTTCATTTCTGTTATTAAATATGAAAAACATAGCTCGCTACAAAATCATTATCATCATTATTAAATATAAAAAAATTTACCAAAAACACTCATGCTTTTTGTTTTTCAAATACGTTCTATTTAACGACCAGAAAAGAGTAAAAACCAAAAAAACATGAAATTCAATATAAATGATACTCAAAACATCTAACAACGTTCATACTGCTTTTCCAGAAAATGACTAGATGCTCATGTAGTAACAAAATGTCAGACATCGATAGATTAAGGGACCCCCTTCCCCCTTTCCGGCGTTTTTTAAGAACGGCTGGGCGAAAATTTTTAAAACTCTCAGGGTAGATAGACCTTGATGAGTAGAGCAAAAGTTGTTATAGACACAAAATTCTCAGATGCCTCCTTGTAGGAGTTTTTGGAATCCCAAGATCCAAAAATGACCAAAAGTTTTCCCCCTCGCAAAACTCGACACTTCATTATTTTAAGCTGAAACTTTTTGTGTGGCAACTAGGGCCCAATTGGGATGCCTTTCTTTTTTTTTTGTTTTGAAAAATATCGATTCCATACGTCAGGAGAAGCAAAATACTGTAGACCATGTCAAAAATCTTGGATTTTTGGATCTTACGGGTTTTGTAAAACCTGCCAAATTTTATAGAAACAAGATTTCAAAGAAAGAGAAAAAAATAGGCACCCCAATTTGGTCGAAGTACTTGTACAAAAATGTTCGCCCAGATCGGCCGAACCGTTTTCGAGAAAAAGGGGGAAAACTTGTTTTTGACGCCCAAAACCGAATTTTGAGAAATATGCAAAATTATGAAAAAAAAAATTTTTTTTTCGTTTTTTCACTTATAATTTTTTTTCATATTGAAACATGGTTGGTGTTGTCTTGTCACGCATACAAAGAACTATTTTCGAGGAATATTCGACTAATCCAATAATAATAAAAATGAGACTTTACTCGAAACACGTACACTTTTTCGAGATGCATTTTTTTGAAATTTCGCTTTTTCAGGAACTTGCCGACTTGGGATAGTTATTAGTTTTATAGCATGGCTAGAGCACATCTAGATACACGTTTAAAAATGAAAATCAACAAAAAAAAATTTTGGCTTGGGAAAAGGGGTCCCCTTAAGTCAATCACCATCAGAGCCATTTTACTTTTCATATCATTTATCGGTACATAGCCTTGTTTCTATTTTATTATTATGATTCCATTTATAACGATATGAATAAATAGAGAAAAACAACTTACACGATTTCTACTTAATATTTATAAACCTTCCTATTCTATCAAAGAGCGACAGCGTTATTTCTATTGTTCTGTTGGTTGATTAGTTGATCAAATGAAAACAGTGGGTATTTTTGAGTTATACAAGTTATCATAATGCACAATATTTGTGTATAGGAGATGGAAATTAGGATATTAAATTTACTGCAAAACTATCATTAGACTCAATGTTAATGACTCTCTCTCTCTCTTCTCTTTGTATTGGCATATCGATCCTTTTATTCCAAAAAAGAAGTAAAAAACACAAATACATACCATAGGAACAGACAAGACAGAATAATGTATACAAACACATCAATTTGAGAAACATTTTCTTCTTCATTGATCGGATTGTTTACTTATTCATTCTATTTAAAATTATTTTCAACAAAATATGGAATCAATACATAATATTCTTGACTAATTTAGATTGAAAATGTCAGAGAAATTTCACAGTGTAATTGAAATATTTTCTGTTGAATTATGGCGAGAAATATTTGAATATTTCAATTCAAATGAATTATGGTATTCATTTCGTGATTTAAATAGAAGAATTGATGGAATTATTGATCGAACAGTGTTATATTTAAATTTTACAAAGCGAGGTACTTATAGTTACTTTATGAAAAATATTTTATCACCAATGAAGGTTATTAATGTTCGATCATTAAAATTTACGAATTCCAATGAAATACAACATTTTTTTTCGAATTTTTCTCTTGATTCATTAATTCATCTTCGTTTATTATCTTTAAAGTGTATGTATTCTTTTAATGATAATTCATTTACATTCTGGAATCAACTTTCATCTTTGAAATATCTACAATCATTGAAAATTATATTTTCGGGCAATCAAGTCGGATCCGATAATAGTATTAAAGAAAATGAATTTATTATTCGTTCAATATTTAATAAAGATTATTGTCCATTACTAAAATCTTTGACCATCAATATTGATCGTACGCAAAGCGTAATGTCATTAATTCCTTCGTTAATTCCAACAACTAAAGTAACAAATATCAAATATTTGTCGCTTGATTCATTGACATTTAATGATTTTATTAAATTACTTTCTGCTTTACAAAATGTTAAATCATTTTACATAGATAGCGAGTTATGTTTGGACAATGAATCTAATGAACCGCAACCGAATATGACAATTATAATACCATTACTGCCTAAATGTACTCGATTACATGTCGGATTATCAAACGATATAATGTTGGAACACGTTGAATATTTATTAAAACATACTCCAAACTTAAAGGATTTATTTGTATGGGGTTGGTATCATTTACTTGATGCAAAAAGATGGAAATCGTTACTGTCAATGCAATGTCCGAAATTAAAAAAATTTGAATTAATATGTAGTGGCCCCACTGATGATAATGATTTTGATCAAGCAATAGAGGATTTTGAACGAAAATGTAAAAAAACACCATTTTGGCGTCAACGAAATGTCTCGGTTGAATATGTAAATGGTTCAGATGATGATGATTCTGAGATTATTTTTCGATTTAATATTAAAAAAGTGAGTTTTATGTGGATATTAAAGCCATCGACACATTAGAAGACCCGGGGTCTTCTATTCTGTCTTATTGTTCATAAGTTAAAAGGGAGTCTTCTATTATGTCCCTTAGAAAACTCATATTTTTTGGCAATCCCACGAACAAATCTTAGTTTCACTTGGTTTTTGTTCAATATATCGTTAGCAAATGAGTTCGTTTCACTTATTTCACATATGTAGAATAAGAAAGAAACAGATATTATCCTGTGAAAAAAGGAAGACCATCGTTGGTGAGAAGTGTTCTTAGAACAATACAATCAATGTAGCCTAGCATCTTGGTATGATATCCCATATCGTTCTTTTTTCTCTGGGCTAAGACCTATCACTGGCAACATTTTACCTTCTCAATAACTAAACAAATGTAAAAAAGAAAATTAATTTTTTTTTATCAAACTCATTTTATTCAGTTGCTTATTTGGAGATTTGAGTAGTATAGATGGATTCTATTCATAGTGAATTCTGATGCTAGCAGAGTTATTAATCTCAAGCTAACTTCAATGAATACGATTGTCTTGTGAAGAAACCATCTACAGAAAATCAGCAGATAAATACACACACTGTCTTTTCTTTTGCGTCTGTTTTAAAAATGTCATTGTATCTTATTAAAAAAAAAAAAGAAATGCGTTCTCAAACTCAAAAGAAATACTCACATATCAAATGTCGACATATATATAGTCTGCGCAAAAATTCTGGGACACTCAAGAATGGCTCTCCGAAATTTCATCTTTCATGTGAAATAAACTTTATATATATTTATTAGTATAGTTACTGGTTAAACTTTCGTACCTTACTCTACAGACACGAAACTTCTAGTTTTAATATTATATGAAAGTTTAACCAGTACCTGTACTTAAAATATATACAAAGTTTGTTTCAAATGGAGTATAAAATTTTACAGAGCCGTTCTTGAGTGTGCCAGAATTTTTTGCGTAGACTGTATATGAAGTTATGTTTTCTTCAATTATGAAAGACTGTTTTGTGGTGAAAATGTTTCTGATTGTCTAGAAGAAAGTCAAAGATGAAGAGACCTTTTAATTAATACAAAGCGGCATTTTATCGAATCTGTTGCTATTGTACAAAGACCCTTCATGTGTTACATGCACGAACGGGCACTGCGTTTATTAGATCCCAAGACCATGGAAGCTTGTTTTTCGTGTATAGAGCCTGAAGAATGTTTTCAAAGTAAGCTGCAAAGGAGTACTAAAATGACTCCATGATATATTTTTACAAAGAAACGCAATCTTTAATATATAGTTGTTTCCTATTAGCTGCTTCTCAGGATTTTACTCATTCAATAAATACTAAACAAGTCAATAAACTCCGGAAATTATTTCAAAATATCGACTTTTTAAGGGGGTCTTCTAATATGTCTTTTGCGTCATTTATTCAAGGGGGGAGTCTCTAATGTGTCGATGGCTTTAACTGATTTTCTGCACTAAGAACTATCCTAAAAAATATCAGTAAAAGAAAGGAAATAATTTCTATTTGAAATGAAAAAATATTTAAGATAGAATATTTTTGTGACAATATGTATGAGTTCTGCATTTTGGTATATGAAGGACTGCACTGATCATTTTTTTCTTTTCATTTTAGTTAAAACAACGAATCAAATAGAACTGAACGATCAAATAGATTGTACTTTGTTAACGAACATATTTTTTTCACTCAAAGTTTTCTCTTGTATTGTTTTTGTTACAAGTTTATTTTTGTTTCTTGTTTTTCTATGTAAGAGGCATATGAATAAGCATAGTTATTGCATTTTGTCAAGTATATATGTCTGATGTGGAAAAATCGATTTTAGTATAGAAATTTCTCATAATGAATGAGTTTTTAGGTAAAAATATACAGGATTAGGTAGGATTCTATGACTAAATTTTTTAAGCTTTTCTACTGTTTAAAAGTACTAATGTTCTGGAAAGTAGTGAGCGTCAACTTTGTTTTACAAAGTACCACCACATAATTTAGAGAAACTACCTGAAGGTTCTAACTGATATTCGTTTATCTTGTATTTAAGTGAAGATTTTTATTTGAAAAAACTTTTACTCTATTACTATAAATTTCTCCACTATTTTTCGTATTGACTAATTTTGGCGTCGATCAATTCTCATAGTGATGGATTCCCATTTTCCTAGATTTTTCTTCGTTGCAGCAGTACCAGTACTTTCAGACATGGAGTTCGTTGAAATGGCATTTCATTCGTACTGTTTAGTTGTTTCGTTTAGACCTACACAGATCGGTGAGATATTGTTGAAAACACCCTAATCTCTGAGTAATCTTTTGCCCATCCTTCATAGAAAGCCGTATCTTCACACAAGACGAAAACTGAGTCTACTTGGGACATTTTGTGTATGCGTGGAACAGTTTGTTGGCCAAGTGAACTCGAGATAATAATACATGCCTTTTGATTCTTGATTCCTGACAGAAAAGACAAGCATTGCTCAGTATCTGTGAATGTGTCGATGTGGTTAATTCTAAGTGATATATAACTCGCTCTGACTAGTAAAAATCAATTTTCAAGCAAAAAAATGCATGTTCGCCTGCTATGCGAAAGTTGCCCACTGTGTACCGTTTAGTTCGCGTTACGATTGCAAGATAATTGTAGTTTTTCACGATAATATATATTTATTTTGACTTCTATCCTGGTAGTGGTGTTTATATGCTAAGTTACATATCTAGTGATTTCTTTCACGTACGACTGACGAATATTATCGAACGAAACTAACTTACATGATTGAACTGAACACCGACTACATATGTAAGAAAGAGAAAAATAATATACAATGGTGTGCTTTTTCTAGATTTGTTTTTGTTCACTATTTCGTTTGAAAAGAATTTTACATGAACGACGCAAAATACGATTTTCCATTTAGTTTGCACTTGTATCGGCCCTTTATTTTATACCTGTCGAATGATTCAAAGATGATTTTTCTACCATCAATACACGTTTTTTCTAGCCCGCATGACTATTTTACGCAGAAGCACGGGAACAGAAAAGGTAAAAAAAAAAACAACTTTTTTTTCTATCTTTCTATGAAGAAAGGCTGTGGGTGTGGGTGTAGGTGTGGGTGTGGGGTGTGGGTGGGTGTGGGTGATGTGGGTGTGGGTGTGGGTGATGTGGGTGTGGGTGTGGGGGGGTGTGGGTGGTGGTGGGTGTGGGTGTGGGTGTGGGTGTGGTGGGTGTGGGTGTGGTGGGTGTGGGGTGTGGGTGTGGGTGGGTGTGGGTGGGTGTGGGTGTGGGTGTGGGTGGATGGGTGTGTGGGTGTGGATGTGGACGTAGATCTTCTCATCACACCCACACCCTCTATGTCGAAGGTGAATCCATCACAGAAAATGTAGTTCATGGTTATGATACAATTTGGGCATATTATTTTGAGAATGAAAAAGATTTTATTAGTCAGAATAGCTTAGAAACTAATATGGGCATCATTATTAGTTGTGGAACATTCTCTTACGCTGAAATGCCTCATGAATTTGCTTATATCGTAGGAGTCACTGGCACTTTACAGACACTTGCTCATTCAGAAAAAAATATTCCACAAAAGGTTTATCACATATACAAGAGCACTTATATGCTATCAGTTTTTGGGAAAATTAATCATAATTATAATCCTGCTAATGATGTACAGGTAGTGAATGAATCAGAATATTTCATGAGAATTCGTGGAGAAATTGACACGATATGCCATGCTCACGTGCCATTCTTGTTTTTTTCACATCAGAAGAAAAGTTACTGGCATTTTACAATTTGTCGGAATCGTCATCTATAAAAGAGAATATGCAAATTGTTACCGAGATAGTTTCGACCAAAGAAAGAGAACTATGTATTAAACGTGCGACAACTGATGGCAGAGTTATACTATTAACTCGAACATTTGGTCGAGGAACTGATCTCCTATATCGAAATAAACAAATGTTAGCTAATGGTGGTATCCATATACTACAAACATTTTTTCCGAAGAATTACTCGAAGAATATCAAATAATGGGAAGAGGAGCGCGACAAGGAGATCGAGGCTCATATGGAATAATTTTGTTAGATACAGATTTAGAATGGGTACTTGGCGCTGGTTGGGAGAAGGAGATTCCAAAAATCATAGGCTCTATTTTTTATACCGCTTTGAATAAAGCTCGTAACGCACTTTATGAAAGCAAGTGTGCTGCTAAAGAGGTTAGCATAGAACAATGTAGACGTGAACATCAAGCTTCTAGAAATTTTATGAATGCATTGTCCGAAGGAAAAATGGATATTGTCAAAAACTTTTTGACTGAGCAAAATCGTGGAGCAAACATCGTTTCGAGGATCTCACATACACTTCTTCTCATGGATGCAACAGGATCTATGTCAAATTTATTGTTTGCTACTAAAGACACAGTCTGTACGATGTTTGAACGTGCTTCATTTGTTTTAGAGGAAAAAGGATTATCAAAAGATTTATTCTTAACGCAATTTGCTATATATCGGAACTACAATTCTAGAGAGAATAAGATTTTGGAAGTTTCATCTTGGGAGACAAAAGCTAGTAATTTGTGGAGATTTATGAACAGAATTAGTCCTGAAGGTGGATGGGAAGAGGAAGCAATTGAAATAGGATTATGGCATGCAGTTAAAGAGAGTGAAATACAAGACGGAATTTCTCAAGTTATTTTGATAGGAAATGCACCAGCGAATACCAAAAGTGATGTAACTAAAAAGCGAGCGCAATTCGGTAAAGCCTATTGGAAGGCGACTAGGTTTGCTATACCAACATATTATGAAGACGAATTACAAAAGCCGAAAAATAAAAATATCTCTGTTCATGCATTTTATCTTACTTTAAAACAAGTAATGCTGATCTTATAAGTGATCATTATGCGTCAATATATTTAGTCTCTTTGTTAATAGATTATCATGGTAATAATTTTTGATTTCTTGCTAGTTGATTATTGATTACTTTTTATCAAATAATAAAATGATGAAGAGCCATGAAATAGTTGCTTAATAAGAAACAATAAAAGTATTCCAATATAATCAAAATAATACAAAACCAAAATAAATGATAATATAAAATAAATACATAATAAAATGTAATAATAAGTATTATTAATTGTTGAATAATAGTAATAAAAAGCAGTTGTAATGTAGTATTGCTACATTCGAACCTATGCATTATATTGTTCTTTCCTTCTCGTAAAGGTAGAGATGAAAGAAAATAGAATGACAAAAGCATTTCTATACTCGTACAATAAACAGACGTGCATTCGTCATCCATGAGTACAACAAAATGGAGAAGAATGAGCGATCATGAGGGTGTGGGTGTGGGTGGGTGTGGGTGTGGGAGGGTGGGGTGTGGGTGTGGGTGTGGGTGTGGGTGTGGGGTGTGGGGTGTGGGTGGGTGTGGGTGTGAGTGTGGGTGTAAGGCGTGGACGTGGGTGTAGGTGGGTCTGGGTGTGAGTGGATCTGGGTGCAGGTGTGGGTGTGGGGTCGGTATGGGTTAGAATGACTAAGATGGAAACCCACACCCACAACCATACCCACAGCCACAGCCACACCCCACACCCCACATCCACACACA